TCTCACCTACATCGTCCACATGGGACGACTCGGGAACTCAACTCCTACCCCGGGCAGCTCACCTATCCCCTTATGCCCAGGGGAAGGGTATCAAGCCGTTTGACAGCTGATGCTAGCTGTCAAAACGGCTTTTACGCTGAAACAGGCGGGAGGCAGCAACAGCTGCGTCCGACGAGGTCGCCTGCCACCGGAAGTCTCCATTCTGGTTGTCTTATCATAGGTCCCGTTACAGTCTTATTTTAGTTTATTTCTCCTACCAAATTCTAGGTATTCTTACTGGTTAAGATTTTCTCAAAAATTAATTATATTTAAAAACTTAACTCTATTTTTCCATATGAACATCTCACACTTTTTACATTTCTTCAATAGATAAAACAATGAAAAAAAAGAGAGCAAGAGTAAAGAAACATAAAAAATAACATACTACTTAAAATATATATCCCTCCTAAGCTAATATATATTTATTTCCTAAATTTCTTATTCTTTTTAACCATAATTAAAAATATGTTTAATCTTTAAATATTCCATTTAATACATCTAGTCATCTGGTTCTTTAACTCTTATTCAAAACATTTTTATCCATTATAATTTTCTTAAACTCAATCACACTTAAGTATCTAAAATTTCCTTTATCTAAGTCATTTCAACTTTTTTATATTACTCATGTCAAGAAAGAGAACAAAAAAAGGGGGGGGAAAACCCATACTATATTATTTAGGGAATTCATCCCTCTTAGAATGACATATATATTCCAAAACCTTTCTATTTCTTTAACCATATTTAAACAAATTTCTTTTTTAAATATTCTCTCTGGTAAGTCCCATCATCTATTTTCTTGGTTTCCACTTTAGTCTTTTTCTTTTGCCCAGTACCTTTCTTAATCAATGTATTTTGCTGAATCAAAAAGTTTTTCCGTATGTTTGTAAATATTGCTGTAGATATAAAAAGTAAATCAGGTGAAGTGTCTTTGTACAGGGCTTCTGCCTTTCCATGTTTCTTGAAAATCTTTTTCTTTCTCTCTGCTTCTCTTATCATTTCCTTTCTCTCCAATGTTCCTGACATCTCTACAATCCCTTTATTCAATCAGTTTTCTTATCCTCAGATTTATTTTGTAGTCTTAAGGGATAAGTTGTTTTTTCCAATTGTTGTGAATTTTTTTCCACTAGGATTAAATCATGTTTCCTTGTTTTGTTAAGTTCCATCTTTAAGTCTCTATTCTCAATTCTATATCCATTTATCTGTTTTATCTGCTCCTTCTCTGTTGTTGTTTTCTGGAAAAATTTTTGTTGTAGAATTAACTTTATATTTTCAAAGTTACCGTATTTTGGATTTCTTTGTGGTTTAAAGTCATTGTTGTTTGAATTAGTTGCAGTATACTATATATCTCCTCCTGTGAAGTATTTATGTTTTCTTGATATGTTCTTTCTACATGTCTCTGATCCATGATGGCCAAGAATTTGAGTTTTTCTCTTCCTTTCTTTTCTCTGCAAATAGCTTTAGAATCCCAATTAAATAGATATTTGTAATCCAAATAGTTCAAAGAAGATTTTTTTTCTGAAATGTATAATTCTCTCTTTGTCTACAGCCCAGATTATTGTCTTTTTTGTCACAGCTGTTCTTTGTTGTTAAAACTTTGAAGGTCACAAACACAGATTAGCTTTTCCTAGATTTTGCCAAGTCTTATATTAAAATCATAGCTGTCATAGTCTTCATCCACCACTAGGTGTTAGCAACTATTTGTTTTTCAATTTCCAAAATGAACAAATCTTTAAAATGAGAGTCTTAACCATTCAAACAATTTTAGATTTATCCAGTTTTAAGTTTTAAATTTCAGGTTTTATATTTAATTCACTTCCATATATTTTGATCCTCCATAAAAAGATTAATTCATCACTTCCTAGTATAAGGGTGGGACGGAAATCCCCCTCCTTCCCTTTCAGAGGTATTTTGCTTCTTGAGGATCTTTTCCAGGAAATTAAATGTAGAATAGAAATTGAGAATTGTTCAAAGGCAAACAAAACATGATTCAAACAGAGAATTGTCCAAAGGGAAACAGAGCAAGATTCAAACAGAATTGTTTACAGGCAAGGCAAACAGAACATGATTCCATGAAACTTGAGTCCTTTGCAAACGGTTGCCTAGAGCAGTCAGCACCGCCCACACTGTCCCTTTTTATTATGCAGCCCCAAGGCGTGGCATCTCAGTGCCTTCTCCTTTGCCCTTGGAGTCTCCCCATTACCTCCCTCTATCCTGCTCTTGTTGCCTGTCTGCGTTTGCGAGCGTCTATGATGTCTTCCAGCTGTGAGTCCTCAGAGTCTGACTCAGCTTCCCAGCACAGCTTGGTCTCAGCCTGAGCACGAGTGGAGGGGCCAGGCTCTTCATCAGATTGTAAGTCCTGGAGCTCATCAGAGCCTTCCTCCAATTCTGATGGCTCTCCAGGCCCCTCCTCCTCTTCCTCCTCCTCTGATTCCCCAGACTAAGCTGCTGGGTCCACTGGCTGGCACGGAATCACAACAGCCTTTTCCTTTTACACTTGTGTGAGTGCTTTTCTTAATGGGATGTTGCAATCCTGCTTTCTCAGTACAATTCTGGTACTGAGGTAGGTGAGTGCCCAGGTAGCTATTCCTGAGTGGGCATAAACAGCAGCTTTGGGTTATCATCTATGATTGGCAAGGGGAAGGTTGTGTGTCTGCATGTTTTCAGTGTCTTCCTTATGAGTCAAATTTCAATTGCGTTTGTTCCTTATAAACATGTTCATCTTATCATATTCAGTCTACTCTGTCATAGGTGGCCACAGTAAGGCCGGAAGATCTCAAAATCTGTCCAGACGACTTGCACAAAGTGTTGTTGGAGGTCCAGGAGATGAGAGAGCAGCAGAACAACATGGACATCAAGCTGGAAAGTATGAAAAGGTGCAGCACCCTAAATGCAGCATGAACAAGTATTTGAGAGGCAAATCATGAGAGGAGTTTTCCACCCCATCTATAGAGCTGCGGATAAAATGAAGGGATTCCCTGAGTACAGAAAGGTGGACTTGTTGGCATCCACCCACTTGGAAAAGGAAATAAAGGCTCTTGCTATTGTGGATACTAATAATTGCAAATCTAGGAGGAAGATTGTTTTCTTATTAATTTTCGTGTCCTCTGTCCCCCAAGATCTTGCTCCTGCTGGTTGCTGAGTTGGCCTGCTCAGTTGCAGAATTTTACCTGAGATTTCACTCCCCTGCAAGTTTAACTGTTGTCCTTTAATGTTTTAACTAAGAATGGTCTAGTGTGGGAAGTGAAAAGATTCATAATCATTGGGAGAGCAGAAGGTGACCTAAGTCTATAAAAAGCTGCCTGATGAAGGGCTGGACTGATAGGCTGTGTAATCCTTTAATGTCTACAGATACAAAGCTTTCTGCCTGTTCCTTTCCAAAGAAATCATTCTTCTTGGAAATGCTGGTGTTTTTTGCCTGCAGGATGAATATTTTGCCCCTGAGCAGTGATCTCTTGTGACTTTGGCCTTCCAAGTCTCCATTTAAAGGATCTCATGGAGCAGAGCTGAGAAACACCCTTCCTCAGAACCCTGGCAGTTACTGTAGTTCAAGCATGATTAAGTGAACCCCTTCCTCACATCATTTCAGAAAAAGCCTCTTTTTGCCCCACAAGCTTCCAGGGAAAAGTCCTGTGGCATCTCCTTTTCCATTCTGGGTCTTTTAAGCTGGTTAGTCTCCTTCTGCTTTCATGCATCCTTCTTCCCTTAAGTGCAGCAACCCAAATCATCTTCTTGCAAAAGTCTCTACTGGACTACCCTGAACCCTTGGAAGTCTGCTCACTTTCATCCTCTTGCCTCTTTCTGCTCTTTGTTTCTAGGGAAAACAAAGCCCTCTGGAAAGAGGTTGCCTGTCTGCGCCAGAAGCACAACCACCAGCAGCAGCTCTTGTCGAAGGTATGGTGAACAGTCTGGCCTTGGCTTGGAGCCCTCCTCTGCTCCAGAGCGGCTGTCCCCCACATGGAGCCCTCCAGCCCCACCATCCTGTTGCCGCCAGGAGTCAGTTGATCCAGGACAGGTCCTAAGAATGTTCTAGCCTGTTCCAGTGCTTAGAAGAAGAGCACCTAGTCCAAATGCAAGATATAACTTTTTCTCAGAAACCCCCAGATTCCTAGAGATACTGAAAGGAAGAGACTCAACAGAGAGTCACAGAAGGTCTCCCTGGGCTGGAAAGCTGAAGTGTGGAAGTCCTGCTGATTACTTGGAAGGACTGGAATAGAAGAAAAATAGCAAAAGAAAAGTCCTGGAGATCTTTTAAAATATTAAAATCAGTGTGTGGTCTAGATAAATCATTTTGCAGTAGATAGGCCATTGATTCAGAAGTTTCACTGAACCAAGAAAGGAACAACCATTAAATTGCAGGCAAATTTTGTTGGTTGAAAAAGGTGTGTTTTCTAGTACATCGAATCACCCTATAATTTCATATTATTCTCTGCATCTTGGTTCAGGCTGAATGCATCAAGTCAATCTCCGAGTGTGTAAGAAAAGTCCCACAATAAGATTCATGCACAGGGCAAAAAACAGTATTCTGAATCAGGTAAATAAAGGGGCCTGATTAGAGAATCAAAAGAAATATAGGAACTAAAAGCTCACTGTGCAGTGAACAAAATTTCTTTTAGTTGCATTCTGAGTGGCAAGGAAAATCAGAAGTAGTTAAATCCCTATGCAGTGAAACTCACAGAGATTGATTGAAACTGCCTTTACTCATAGTTGAAAGGAGATTTAGAGTATTTTGTAGAACATTTCCAGTAAATGACTCCCTTTGTCCAGGTTTATGCAACACTCAGAGACACCACTGTCAAAGACAAATGGGGAGAAAAGATGAAACGAAGCAGCTTTGAACATCTTTATAGTAGTCATCTTTAAGGAAATATTGTGCAGAGGGAAGACATCCCATAGAGGAAAGCTGCTGGATTAGGTCCTGTAATTGGGAGTTCTCTCTGGTGCAAGAGAGAACGGAAGAGAATTGCAGGGGGTCCCAAATCTGGAGCAGATTTGTCTGCTGACATTGAAGAAGTGGTAGCAAAGATGTTGCCAATGTGATCCATTGCTTTGTTAATACATCTTCTGACCTGATGGCATGTAAGGTGGTGAATGATAATTCAGTCCATGTATTATCAAAATCCTCAATTATTCCAATAAAGGTAAATAATTGCACTGATTAAGGTGTTGGACCAGGACCAGGAAGTGTGAGGTTCAGGTTCACCCTCAGCATTGGGGTTCTTCAACAGATACATTCCCTCACCCCGTCTCTCTTAGGGGTATAAGGTGAAGGAGGCTTCTTAAATAAACTACTTTGAACTCAGAGATAAAAGATGAAATATATATCTAGCAAATAAATATATGGTGAAATATTCAACTACTAGTAGAAGCTTTAGTTATTGTAATTATGAGTGATAGGATTTTAAAAATCTGTGCAGATCTTCAATTTTATGTAAGATGGTCTGTGATGATAGCATATCATTATGTATATACGTGTAGTGTGTTTGTATTATTTATTTGAAGGAGGTATGAGTTAAAGGCAGGAGTTAATGAAAAGTTTTTAATACCTTTGCCAGTTCTAGTTTGCACCACTGAATATTGTTCTTGTACTTAATTTTGAGGGTATGATGGTTGAGTTGAGAGAGGATTGTTACTTTTCCCCTCTTCTTTCAGATCCTTGAATTTATACTGGGTTTAATGAGTGGAAACTGCATTTTGGGGCTCAAAAGAAAAAGGTAATTGCTCACTTTGTACTTCTGTTGCTATTCAAAATGAGCTGAAAAGCATTCTTAAACTTCATTAAACAGGCTCCTTCCTCCCTGTTAAGAGGAAGCAAATGGAACAGTTGAAATGGTTCCAAAATGCTGCTCATCCTGCTTCTATTTCTGATTACTTTGCCTGTCTTTTCATGGTCTCTTTGTGAACATTATTTTTACCTGTGTTAAGAGTATTTGTGGCTGCTCAGGCCACACCCTCTGCTTATGGTTTGTTGTAAACATGCCAGACACTTGAGTTGACTTCTTTCTGAACTTTCATCTTGATTTATTTTGGGCTTTGTAGCAATCTGTCAGATGCTTCTCTTACCAGAAAAAGAACTCAAAGACCCGCAGCTTGTTTTAGGTTTGGTTTTCTTCTTAGCATCAGGTGAAAATTGCTGAAACTGAAACTTGAAACCTGAACAGGCCAGGGATGCTCTCTACGAGCCACAGGGAAATGGGTAAGAGCAGAGAAAACGTGGCTGCATTTCCTCCAGGTCTTAGACTTCAAAGGAGCATATTGTATGAACCCCTTCTGTACTTCCCTTACTGAGGAAATTATGCAGAAGGATATGAAGGTTTAAAGCTAATTAAAGTTTTAAAACTAAAGCTAAAACTAATTTCAGTGGGTGGCTGAGCTTCAGCTTGTAGACCCAGAGACTGCAGAGCTGGCAGAGAGCTGGCCAGTGGCTTCTTCCAATTGGGAATGTTCAGACGATTGTGTCCAGATGTTGAACTCATGTCCTTTTTATTCATGTGCACAGAAAAAACATTTTGGATGGTTATAATTAGTGGGGGTTCCAAAAAGGGGTAGGTGCATTTGGAAAGCAGATGGTCTTTCATTCTACGTTAAAATAAATGGCTGTGGTACATTTTCCAAGGCAAGAACTTCTCATATGAGAAAATTATGATTTCCTTTTCATTTGAGCACAAGAAAGGGCTGCCTTGGATTTTCTCACTCATATTTATTGGCTGGAGACTATACTATATTCCAGATGTAAGTGGTTCCTAGGAAACGTCAGTCCGTTTTAATGCAATAATGATTATGCCTTGATTGTGCTGAAAGCCTGCCTCAATTTTGGTTCCTAAATGCTGTGAATTGCCAGCTATGATTTCAAAGCTCAGGCTATCAAAACCCGTAATCCTTCCGGCTGCTTTTATATTTTTAGATGCTGAAAAAGCATTTGATCAATTGGATTAGGTTTTTTTGTTTCAGGTTATAGATAGAATGAATTTTGGGGAAAAATTTTTGTCTGCTCTTAAGGCTATCTATCAACAGCAATCAGCACAGATTATAGTCAATGGGGGGGGGTAACAGAAGCATTTAAAATTGAAAAAGGAACTAGACAAGGATGTCCATTATCCCCATTGTTATTTGTGTTAACAATGGAGATTTTGTTAATCAAAATTCGTGAGTCTTCTATAATAAAATGAATTAAGGTTAATAAGATTGATTATAGATTAAGAGCTTTTGCAGATGACTTAGTGTTAACATTAACTCAGCCGATAGATTCGGTAATTGATTTGGTTGAAATTATTGCACAATATGGGAAAGTTTCTGGTTTTAAGGTTAATTGTAACAAGACTATTACCGAAAAACATGTCCAGGGACGATAAAGATATGTTAGTTACACTTACAGGTTTTGAGATGGTTAAAAAGATAAAATATCTAGGAGTTTATATTACAGCTTCTAATGCCAAATTGTACAAGAAGCCTTATGGGTTAAGGTGCAAAAGGATTTAAATGATTGGAAAAAATTGCAATTATCTTTGTTGGGAAGAATTTCAGCAGTAAAAATGAATGTTCTTCCTAAATTTCTTTTCTTGTTTCAAATGATTCCTATTTTAAAAAAAGATGCTAATTTGGAGGGATGGCAAAAGGGTATCAATAAGTTTATCTGGGCGGGCAAAAAACCAAGAGTTAGGTTCAAGATTATGCAGGATATAAGGGAACGAGGTGGACTTAAAGTCCCCAACTTAAAATTATATTATGATGCGGTGGTTTTGACATGGATTAGTGATTAGTTAAATTTGACAAATAGAAATATACTTTCTCTTGAAGGATGGGACTTGTTATTTGGTTGGCAGGCATATCTAATTTATGATAAAAAAGTAGACAGAAATTTTAAGGCTCATATTTTAAGAAGTGCCTTACTTCGAGTTTAGAAGAAATATTATTATAGAATAAATTATAAGATCCCTATTTGGGCAAGTCCAGGACAGATAATAGAGGGGATATCTAGGGGAGTTAATTTGGATAAAGTTTCTTATAAGCAACTACTCTTTCCGGTAGGACGAGATTGGCAACTTAAATCTTTAGTAAATTTGAAACAAGAAAATATTGAATATTCTTGGTTTTATTATAACCAATTGTCAATGAGGTGGCGTTTGGATCAAAAAGTTGGTATTACAGTACAGGATGTAAATTTGATGAAACAGATTAGAGATCAATCTCAAGCTCATATAAAAAGAATTTATAGTGCATTGGTTGAATTGGATTCAGAAACAGAATTGGTGAAGGATTGTATGATAAAATGGGCTCAAAATATACAAGAACCGATCC